TGACACTGACAGCAGCAAGCAAAATATCAGGTGCGTTTTAATCATCCGCTTTTGTTTCCGGAATTGTCAGTTTAGTCATTTTAACCTGTCAGATTAAAACAAGAAAACCGACAATTCCGAAGCAGATGCGGATGATTAAAACGCACCTATTAAAAATATTGCGCCAAGATGTAGGCAACACGTAATAAGGGTTCAAAATGGCGGAGTTTTCTATCTCCTTTTAAAAGGCACTCAGAAAGCTGCGCAGTGCGACCATTCTCCGTATAGTAAAAGAATATCAAAGTATGTGCCGTATAGTAAAAGAAAATCAAAGTATGTGGTAATTAGGCATTCCAACGATCTGTCAAAATGCTGCCAGTGGGAACTGACAGTTTAGATATGGACCTGTTGTTATTGACAGCAGGGCTGCCAGATTCAGTACGTTTGTACTGAATTCAGTACCTTTTCAATTTTTTCATCAGTGTTACGTTGTTAGTTTTAGTACGTTTTTGTTAAAAGTAGTCAAATTAGTACCATTTTCAGTACTATTTGGACATTTTCGAATAGTGACATATTTTATCAACAAAATAGTCAATTCAGTTAAGTCATATGTTGATGCAAATAATTTATTTAAAATTGAAATTTATTGCACGTTTGTTGGCTGTAATTTGAATAGTAAAATAGTACAAAGATAATTGTTAAACAATAAAGATTATATAATTAAATAAGTGTAAAACCACAAGAAAATAATTTTTATTTTACTTTCGCATTATTTCTCATATGTGCCTATTTGTTTATATCTTCGTTTCTATAGGGTAAAATTGTAGAATTTTGAAAATTTTTCTATAAAATTTATTGAATAGTTAATGAATTTAAAGCTCCAGCCATTTTAGGCGTTGGTACATTTTCATAAAAGAGCTTTTCTAAAGTTGCTTATTCAGTACGGTTTTTTTATTTAGTACGTTTTAAACAATATTTCAGTACGATTTGAAATTTTTATTCTGGCAGCCCTGATTGACAAGTCAATGGTACATATATAGTTACATAGATTGCTCAAAGTGGATAGTTTGCGAGCGGCCATATTGCCTGGCAAGTTTTCATTAATTTGAATCGGTTTGGGAAAAATGTTTTTTAAAACCAAAAACATTACAACATAGAGACAAAATGTTTCATTCATAAATCCCATGCAATTGCGGACTGTTATTGTTTTAAAATTGTTAGTGAGTGGAAGAGAGAAAGACAGATCTCTTAGGACCGGCTGGCAACGTTGTAAACAGTGTCCATAATATACTCGCCAGTGGCGTAGAGTTTTAAACTTACAAGTATTGTCAGAGTAGTATGTTAAAAAAATACGTAAATAAGTAGGTATATTTTTTTAGTAATATAATTATGATTTTTTCATGTAGGTAAATTCAAGTACAAGTAAATTAAAATACAAGAGAATTCAAGTTACCTTCCGATTTTTAATATTTATTGGTTTATAGTTTATTGGCATTTACTATATTTGCCTGGTATGATGTTAACCAAAATTATTTAAAATTTTAAATTAACAATAAGTAGGTAGTGGTATCTAAATAAAACACTGTCCTAAAATTTTTTAATTAATAATTACAAAAAAACATTTTAAGTTAAATTTTCTTTGCCACTATTTAATAATTATTTATTGGTATGAGAATAATATACTAATTTAGAAAAGGAATATCACTTTAAAAACTCTTTTAGACTACATAAGTTTTTGATACAATTTCTTGTACAATTTAAATTGTATATTATCAAACAATTTACTATGTGATCCTATACAGTTTAAATTCTATAAGAAATTGTATCAAATCTTGTACAAGAAATTGAAACGGTGAGTGAAAGAACAATACATATCCAAAATGACCATTTTGAGAAAAACAAAAAAAAACTGTTTTAAAGGAGAACTATGGGTTATTCGACCTAATTATGTATTGTGAAGTTATAGAATTTTTGTTAACCGATAATAATACGTACATAAATTTAAAAATAAAATTATGGAAAAAATGATATTTGAAAAAAATGACTTGCAGTTATACTGTTCTTTCACTCAATTTAAAAAAAAATGCTTTTAATTTTTTTTGTAGCTTTATTGATTATTATTTAACAAACTTATTTGTAATGTTTTAATCAGAATCTTCATTTTTGACTTTCCAAGAAATAATATATGGTAGTAAAACTCTAGGATTTCATCACTAAAGTAGAATAAAAGTATCTTTATATTAGCTATCTTCTTTGCGTTAATAGGGACAACTTCTGAGTATGCTAATACACGTAACGGTATACCTGTGCAGGTATGTCGGCGCAGGTCGGCTTCATGTCGTAGCGTGCATGTCTACCTGTGCAGGCACACCTGCACAGACAGACCGTAGTGTGTATGCCCGCCATAAGGTAACTGCAGATTGGCATTAGGTTTGATATCAGTCTAATGCGCCCCGCACATAAGTGTGCGAGAGAAAACCGCCTATGAAGGCACTTGTAGTAACATATCCAGAAGTTTTACCAGTGTATGTAAACTGGCTGTACTGTGGAATGACAAAATTAGCTTTTTGTTCATCAGCTGATTTAGAGGTTTTTTTTTATGAAATTGCGACCACCAGTTTCTGAAATCTGTGTCAAATTTGTCTACGAAACGACATGGCTACTGACTGAAAAAACAGTACATGCGCCGTACTTGTACTGTTTTTTCACTCAGCCGAAAATTGAACAAGCCCCCATCGCTCGTATGATGTTGGTCTCTGTATTATTCCTTCGCTATGTGATAGACCTATGAATTTTAAACAATTTGCCTATCTCAGTTAAAATTGTCAGAAATACAAAATAGCTGTTAGACCCGATTGGCAACGTTGCGGCTGATTACGGTAACTACATTTAATTCCTAAAAATAGGTAAATAGTTTTTAAATTCGTAAAATAAGATATTCAGCGTTGCCGTATTTACGGAGTTCTTTGCAACCCTAATATTTTGTTTAGATTAATATTGATTTTTAATAAAAAATATAGCTTATATTAAAACTTTAAAGAATAATTTGATTAAACATATTTTTATTTATATAATATAAAATTATAGTTATAGGATACATCAAATTTTACTTTTCGAAAGCAATTTCTCCAAATAATTTTTACAGACTGATAAAACCGGCAAAGGCGCAATAAACGAGAATCTGGTGGGAATAATGATTTGCCACATAAAAATGTAAACAATTTGGTCTCTTAGTTGTAATGTCTTTGTTTAAAACCTATTTCCAGCCTTGGAATATTTAAAAAAGAAATAATTGGCTACATTTTTACTTCAAGGCATAAGCTTATGTTTATTTGTAAAAACACGGATGGTCAATCCTTATAACTATATATCATTAACCCTATCAAACCACCTGACCCATAGTGTTGCCATATTATAACCTGTCAGTGGTATGTCATTTCAAACGAGCAGCCATTTTGTTTGGAATGCCTAATAGTAAAAACGGAGATAAGGGAGATAAAGATAGGAAACGCTCATAAGAAGCCAATGCTTAACAACGACCAGCTTTAACGCAGTTAACATCTGACCCACTATGTAGCCTTTCATCGATATCAAACAACGCAGCGGGAAATTTAAAAACCTGATAATAAAGGTTTAAATTTAAACAATGTAATTACGCTAAATTATTTATTAAAAAGAATACTACACTTACAGTCTAGTATCGATTAATTATTGTAAATCTATTCATGACAAATATTTTTTAATTTTTGATCGATATGTGTAACATTAACATTTTTGTTCTTATTTTCCAAACGAATGGCCATTTAAAAATGTTGAGTGCAAATTTAATGAGAATTCAGATATTTTTCTTCCTATATCAAATCTTATTTCTAACGTTTTAAAGCCATTTTCTAGCACTAAAACAAGAGGTAATAAATAAATACCTACTTTGTGAAAAAAGTTGGCTACTATTTGTGTTGACTAGATCTTACTTTGGTTAATTTAACTGTAATCTCTTGATATTTGCAATGCAATATCCAGTGGAAATTTATCAACAAATTTAGCACACCGTAATCCTATGAAATTAGCGCTTTCTAGATGGCTTACAATGGCAAATCGCGTTCTTCGGCTCTATGCTGGAACGGAAAAGCCAACATCAAGCACTACGGATATGGCCGAATTCATAATTAAAGTGTCCCAATGTGGTCCCAATGTGGTTTACTATTAAACTAAATTTCAGTTCCAGTAGTGGTAGTTTGCATGTATTTAAACCGATTAAACTGTCACGGTATTTAAGAGATGATTTAAAAAGTATTGCGGATACAGTAATCCAAAGAAACGCGTATTGTATACACCCCAAAAACATTTTTTTGTGTATGCTAACAGACACTCGTGAATGGGTTCGGGAACTATCTCTACAAAGAATTTTAAAAGCTAGAGAAACCAGTCGAGAAAACGTTGAAGTAAGACACTTTGTGGTATCAAAAATTAATTTTAGTGCTACAGACTACTTTGAGTTAATTTACTGGAATGAGTGCGATGAGACACCGCCTCCTGTTTTAAGGGTTTTTACTAATGATAATCTTAGGGACCTTATAAACGAAACCGAAATTCCAGACTTTTATTTTCCGAAGTTCCCTTGCCATACTCAATCCGTGGAGAGATGCGTAAAATTAGTTACAGAGTCATCTTCTTTAGTAATTGGTCCAGTATCAAGAGACGGCTTTATTCGCTCAAGAATAAAAGCAGAAGAAATTATACTCGCAGAAATTGAATTTTGAGAAAAATTTAATTTAAACTAAATTGTTTGCCAAATTGTTAAAAATTTTACAAATAATTTTAAATTCACAATTCAGTATCATTTTTACCTGAATAGTGTATTCTATGGGTAAATTAAAAATATATACTTTGTAGATTAAAACCGGCATAATACCTCAATTCGGATAAATTGCGAGTACATTATTTTGCCTTTGCAAGGCAGACTGCGTGTTTTGAATAGTAGTCGTAGAATAACACTTACCGGAAGCTATTCTTCCTTGATCCTGCATTTGAATTTTTATAAGTTCCATTGGTGTACAAACTGTTACAGAAATAGAAGAACCACAGGCAGCCAACAATTGTCTAGACAATGGCAACGAACTAAAAATTATTTATAATCAATATATACCGTATATCCTAGCGTAATCTGAACAAAAATATATGGGTATACTGGTGACATATTTCATATATTATCATATACAAAATGCGAGCTATTTTCAACCAGTTCGGTCTCTAATTCCTTAAGTCCCTTTCATCTTTAATTGAGCCTTTTATAGCCTTTACTTTTCCCGTTCTCAAAAATATTCAACGAAACAAGTCACCTCTAAAATTTCGCTTTGACACGCCTATGAAGACTAGAGATAAGGAAACGAATCGGCATGCTCAAAATACGGTCCCAAAAATCACACTTCAATTGAGCTTTTATAATTAACCGCATGGGCGCTGGTACGATTTACGTAGTTCAAAATGCATGGCTTCTTATGGGAATTATACATAATTAGTAAAGCACAGAAAATACTGTTGTATTTATTTCTAAATAAGTCTTACATATTTTAATTGATACAGTATTTACTATTTATTCCTATTTAAGTTAAATGCAAATTATTGATGCTAAGTGTTGAAATTTGATGGGTAGGGCTAATTATTTATTAATTAAAGCTAAATAGGGATGAGGGCATACTAAGACACGGTTCAAATGAAAATATTTAATTAGGGATTTTACAAAATTTTATGAAAATAATAAAAATCAAATTGTTCATTGCTAACTAAAGCACAGAAAATACTGTTTATTTTAATTATTGTACAGAAATTAATTACAGTACAGAAAATACTGTTGGTATTAATTATAAATGAGTCTTTGTGTTAAACATTATTTATTATTCATTATTTAATTTTATCTAAATAAAATGAAAATTAGGTATGGCCAAATTTGAAAAGGTTTGTTAAATGGTGAAATATGGTAAGTACAGTTTTGTGGTAATTTCGTATTCGACAACTACAATTTCATCATCCTGGTGAATAGTTTCTTCAGCAATAGGTTCTAGTATTTTATTGCTTTTTTTATTTTAACAAATTCAGTTCGGTTCAATGGTGGTTTTCGTCTTTTCCTAATACTGGACAAATACGAAGGGAGATTCGGGAATATACATGGTATTGCTTCGTTCTTTAATCTCGGCCTTTCCCTTTTTATTTTGTTAACAGTACCATTAGTTAAAATAGTCTCATCAAATTTTAAAATATCATCTTCTAAAAAGTGTAGCTCGCAAACAGAATCATAACTAGATAGTACTTTATCAGCTCTAGGAATCACATGCTGCCATTGTTCTAAACGTTTAGGATCCTATAAAAAATATTTTCAATGACTAAATTGGAGTTCAATAAAGAAAAATAACAGTAACTCTTCATCTAACATCAAAAAACATAAAAAAGCAAATTTTCTTTTCTAGTACCTAAGTTAAATTTAATGTGTAATTATTGTTGTTTGTAAGTCAGGATTTATGACTTTATTATTTTTTATTACAGAATTTTGTAATTAAATAAACTACCTTCCGTAAGATACGGGTTGTTACTATTTTCCAATAAATATATATTATTTAGAAATAAATACATTATTTTACTTACACTAGGAGCTTTGAAAAGACTTGGATTTTTATCTCCTTGTGATTTTTTAAAATTTTATATCGGATTTATATCCCGTTTTTCAACCCAGAACGAAGCAAATCCTGCTATGCCGTTTTTTGTTACTCATTGTTACTTGTAGTTAGGTTCTTTATTTCAGCTTATTTTTATTCTTTTCACTAAATTTTACAAAAATCACTTTAATTCCCATTGACTTGCATAGAAAATAGACGTCGTTATTTTGCCACCCGCCAACTACAGTGGTTTTTTGGAACTCCATAAAAATAGGCACGGAAATTTGAAATTCGCCTCCTTATCTCTAGTCTTCATGGACACGCCTATGCGGGTTAAGGTAGCCATCCAGTCTTCCACGAAATATTTCTAGAGAAAACCGAATTTTCGAGGCACATTTTTATATTAATAGCCCAACTTTGTCGTTATAAAAGTCACTGTCACTGTGAGTAGATTAATATTGTCCGTATATATTAGTAAATAAGTAAATGTGATATATAAATTAGTATAGAGTATAAATAAATTAAATAAATAAACGTTACAATATTTACCCATCAGCCTTTTTTAAACGGAACCGAAACATATCGTTGGCTGCTAATTTTATAGCTTTTTCTGGCATTATTAATATAACGTTTATTAATGAACCTTGATACATTCCAAAAAATCCTTCTCTTCTAAACGTTTTTACAAGGGCGTCTAATCTACAAAAAAAAAAGCTTTTGTACAGTTGGTTTAACTCATTCATGATCCATCTGCCATGAAACAAGTTATATTGTTGCAAATAAAATATTTACTTTATATTCACTCCTTTTAATTTATTTTTTTATAACTGTTTATTCAGTATTGTTGCATTTAATAAAAATTATTCAGATTTTGTAAAAAGGAATGATATATTGTTCTAGATTTCTTGTTTTTTAATCAGAAAATCTATAGACATGGAAACTAGAAAATAGAATTTATAAAATTTCATTATTTCTTTTTAACTTAGAGCTTATAATTTAGTGTTGATGATAAATACACTGCAACGTAGAAGAAAAAGATTGGTCTATAATTTTCTCTACGTTTGTTAGCTGTGGCATGTTTACAATATCATAAAAAGTAGTAAAAGCATCTACCATTTTTATAAAATTATAATGATAATAAAATGATATAAGTACTTACTCACATGCTTGAATATGTTCGTTCTCCTCTTGGGCCGATAACTTGATTCTGCATTCTTGTTTTTACAAGATCTAATGGGAAAACACAACATATGCCTATGAATGCAGCAATATTTCCATTGAGTATTTTAGGTAAAAGGCTGCAATATTAACGTCTATTAATAATTATAACTACTTCAATGTTTTTATTAAAGTTGTAGAATTGTTTTACAATGACCATATTTACTAAAGAAATAATTATCTTCATACTCACATAGATTCTTGAAAAAATGTTCTGCATCACTTGGAAGTCCATAATCAAGCAGGAAATTTGTAAAATTTAAAAAATTCCAGTACACACTAACATTAGTTAGTTTTGGATTACTTACTGAATAAAGTAAATCGACATCACTTAAAAATAAGTGCAATGATTTAAAGAATATTTTTCAGTTCTTATCAAAATTTTAATTAATTAACACATTAAGACATTAATACATTAATTATTTAACAAGGCATTAAAAAAAAAACATACACGGTAAGGAGGTAAAATAAAACAATAGGAAAGAAATTAAAGGTAACGACTAATCACAAGCGTATACCTCTTCTCACAGTTTTCTTTTTGAATGTTTTGTCTTTTTTCTTCTTCTAAATGTTTTCTTCCCTTAATCGTTTCTTTTCTTGGGATATTTCTAATTCTTTTAGGACAGGTGTGCTTGTATTTTCGAAAATTATTTTTTTTTCGATTATTTTTTTTAACTCTATTGATAACTTTTTTGTTGGTATAGGAGCCATGAAAATAGTTCTCTTTGGATGTACTTGTAATTAACCAAAACATTTGATTCAGTATCAGGTAATGGGATTTTAGCTTTTGTTATGAATAAAGTAGGATCATCTTCGTCAGAATCTTGTATAGTGCAATTTGGTACTTGATTGGCAGGCGCAAAATCATCCTCATTAAATTTCTGGATGTAATGGATACATTCCTGAAGTACAAAACCCTGAAGCGGACTTCTCCATTGTTGCGACTTTCATAAATGCAATGTTTAATAATTCAGCGACGTCATATTAGTTTAATTTTTGACGATCAGATGAGGATGAATAAAGATCGTATTCCCTATAGAGAGCATTCTTTAGTGGACTAAAAAATGTTGAATATAATGGCTGAAGATGGTGTGGGATGGAAGAGTCACCATATGCATATTATTTTCCTTACAAAATGACTTGAATGGTTATCCAGACCCAAAAGGATGGGGTCAGATGCAAAATGGGACAGCCACTCAAAAAACAACTCAGAATTAATTCAACTATTTTTGGAACATTTGGAGGAAGCACCCAAAGGTCCGTTTTTTTTTGAAGAGTTTTTGGCATTATTTGCTGGGATAAATAAGCATAAGGGAGATGTAATTCCCTGAAGCACTTTTTTGCTCCCTTGGCACCATAAACCTTTGGACATTTGGCTTGAACGGTTGTAATACTTGTTTCGTCCATGTTGAATATTCTGTTTGGTTCAAATTTAAACTTCTGCATCATAATTTCCAAATTAGAATAAAATAATTTCACAGCATCTTTATTAAAGGATGAAATCACATTTAAGCTAGTACCCTCAGGAACCCTTCTTAAGAAACCATAAAGCCATGCCTTTCCAGCTACTCCTTTTTCTCGATTAAAGTTAGAAACAATATTATGTTGTTCTGCATACCTAATTACTAGCCTTCTTAGCCCATCAGGTGTCAACCCAAAAAATTATTTTGAAAGTAGCAAAACATATTCTTATAACTTACACTCTATTTCTTTTGAAAATATAGTCTTGCGGACCAATCGAGGTGGTTTCAGTTCATTTTTTAGCAGCTTTTTTGTGATGGTAGATTTGGTATTTTAAAAGATTTTCCCACTTCCTTAATTTTTCTTAAATCATTCCGCATTGCATCCAGTGCATTTTTAGGGTTATCAACCGTATAAGACAGGATGGCAGTTTTACGTGTGTATTTTCTAGGCATCTGGAAACAATAAATAAACTTAATAATATACTACATACTATTTAATAACATTTGTGTTTATGTTTTATAAATTCATGATATGACAAAAACTATCTATTTATTTATCATTCAAATGTGACAAGACAATTATAAAATAGTAGATTTTAATAAGACATCTCATTTCAAACGATTTGATAAACATTATGGACTTACCGCCTTATTTTCTGATGTCGAAAAGTAATAATAATTTGTTTAGAAATCAACAAGTCTATGTTACGTCGATCTTATGCAAACTAACAACAATTAATAGCGCCAATTATTTAGCCATCGCGTAGGAGACAGCAGCACTGGTTGAGCACTTCGTATAGCCCGCGAACTTTAAAATATTTTGGTGCGCACGATTACCCGCTGCGCACCATTACCCAACTCCCACTACTAATACATATATTTTCATCATAGTTTGGTTTAATAAAATAAATACCTTAATAAAAAATCATTAATTTCGGGGAGTTGGGTTTTTTATACAGAGCACTTACAATGGTGCTATTCTTTTGTAAAGCAACACAAAGGGGGTGGGGATTTTTTTCATTATAAATCAATATTTTTGTTTTCCCTCTATACCACCTGTATTTTACAAAATCTAATACTTGATTATAGATTTTCAAGTGATGCAAAACTTTTTATAAGGAACATTTCTTTGTACAAACCAAAAAAAAATCATTTGTATAAAACTTTTTTGCGGCACCTTGTATATGTATAATAATGATAAGTACTTACGTAAATGTTTTTTGTTTTTCAGCCATAACACAAGAATTTTGGAAAATGCCTAAAACTAAAATATAAAAGATAAAAATATAAATAAAAAAGATTTTTCTTTACTTACCAAATTAAAATGAAACTGAACTGGATTTCAAACTAATTACATTGCATGCAATACAAAAAATGTATTTGATTTAGTTATTACTAAAAAATATGGGTCTCATTCATGATAGCGTGAACATGAATTTTGATAATAAAATCTAAAATGAGAATCTGTGTCAACGTGGCCTTAAGGCTTTTCTACATAATATCAATACGATGTAAATATGGAACACAGAGCTATGAGATTTTTCATAAAATGCTAAGGGCCGTTACTTTTAACCACATACTTTGATTTTCTTTTACTATACGGAGAATGGTCGCACTACGCAGCTTTCTGAGTGTCTTTTAAAAGGAGAAAGAAAACTCCGCCATTTTGAACCCTTATTACGTGTTGCCTAATACTTGGCGCAATATTTTTAATAGGTGCGTTTTAATCATCCGCTTCTGCTTCGAAATTGTCGGTTTTCTTGTTTTAATCTGACGGGTTAGAATGACTGAACCGACAATTCCGGAAGCAGAAACGGATGATTAAAACGCACCTGATATTTTGCTTGATGCTGTCAGTGTCAGTGAATATCACATACGTGGTGAATATTATTTTTGGAGTCACAGTTTATTGCTAAAGAATCAGTTAGCTCACTCGGACCAGTTGAAAGTTCCAAAATAACATCCACTCCAGGGATACAAATTCAGGATACGCAGAAGACTGCTATTTTATTATAGGCGGTTGTCATATATTGTATTATCTGAGTTGCGCAGTGTATAAACTGGAACATTGAGATAAAAAGTGCCATCGCAGAGTGAGCGATCTGATTCTTTAGATATAGAGATAGAAAACTCCGCCATTTTGAACCCTTATTACGTGTTGCCTACATCTTGGCGCACCATTTTTAATAGGTGCGTTTTAATCATCCGCTTCTGCTTCGGAATTGTCGGTTTTCTTGTTTTAATCTGACAGGTTAAAACGACTAAACCGACAATTCCGAAAGGCGGTTGTCATATATTGTATTATCCGAGTTGCACAGTGTATAAACTGAAACATTGAGATCAAAAGTGCCGACGCAGAGTGAGCGATCTGATTCTTTAGCTGTAAACTGTGTCACAGGGTTCAAAATGGCCGCGCCCTATGTTGGGCGTGTCGGACCTCTCTCTTGCCTCGTAGAGTAATCAAAGTATGTGGCCGACGCAGAGTGAGCAATTTGATTATTTAGCTGTAAACTGTGTCACAGGGTTCAAAATGGCCGCGCCCTATGTTGGGCGTGTCGGACCTCTCTCTTGCCTCGTATAGTAATCAAAGTATGTGCTTTTAACACAGATTATGTTATTGTAATAGATACAAAATTTGGAATTGGAAGCTAAGTTTAAATTTTGTCAGTTATTACGTGTACCTTTTTAAAATGCAACGAAAGTTTGTGACAGCAGATTTATGGCACCATAAGGCGAAGCTTATTTCAAACAAGTAGTGGGGATAAGAACAGTAATGCATTGTAATAAAAATTTGTAAAGTTTAGTTGAAAAAACAAGACAAATTAACATGAATGTAATACATTTATTTAAAAAGTTACATCCTTTCTTCCTTCTTTGTCTATTCTTCAAGTACAAACGATGTCATTGAGAATAAAGAGAAGATGCTATGACGATGCTTAAGTGTGCATTACACTTTTACGTCATATGTCAACAGGGCCGGCCCCAGGGTGGGGCGATCAGGGCGGCCGCCCGGAGCGCAATGATCTAGGGGCGCCAAAATCATGGAAAATTAAAATAAACTGATAAAAAAAATTAAGTTACAGGCTTTTATAAAATGCACTAAAAAGTAAAGAATATTTTTTTTATCATTCTGATATCATATCAATAAATTATTTTTCATAATATTGCATTGTCATCGGACCCTTGTAAGTATACCAAATTTCATTGAAATCGGTTCACGGGAAATTTCTCAAAAACGCGTTGCAAGATTTGACTGACAGTTGACAAGATTAAGAGGCGGCAGGCGGAATTTATCATTTTTATTTCTAAGCACATAATTCAAATAATAAAATATATTTTTCTTCAAGCGTATAATAATGTTTACATTATATCAAGGTACACGTGTTGTAGAAGTAGCCTATTTTTATACTAGTACAAATATTTTTCATTTTTGTACTAGTATAAAAAAGCACAAACCTAATGTTAAATGGCTTATTATGAACGTTGCAATCAAGTAGGCTGGAACTGTCATTTGAATACTTATTTAATTTGACGTTTGTCAGTGTATGATTTAGAATATAAAAAATGTAGAGTACATATGTGGCAAAGCACTAAAAGGCATTAACTTAATGAAATGCTTATGCCGTACATGGTGGGGTGCCCACCCATCTACTCTTCTTATGATTTATAAAGCCTTGGTTCGTAGTCATCTAGATTTTGGAAGTATTCTTTTCGGCCGTTGTTCGCAAGAGCTCTTGAAACGATTAGATAAAATGCAATATCAAGCTATTCGTGTAGTATTAGGTATGATGCGCTCAACACCAACTAATATATTGCTATCTGAAAGTGGAGAGTCAACCTTAAAGTCTCGAAGGAGTTGGTTAGCACTAAAATACGTAACTAAGATTTCATCCTATAAAAATTCCTTTTATTACTATATAAGTTCTTTGCACGAATGCTTTTTGAGAGACGTCCAGTTTTGGCCTGCCAATAAAATTGCACCAATTATGGAAGCGTTCCATGCTATTAGGCCTTTTCTTCAAGAAATTCATTTTTTAGATACCTTTCCGTGCTTTCAATTTCCCATAGAAATACAGGTTGCGACTATTCCTTTTATGGAATTAAATTTAGATAAATGTACATTCAATAAGCAAAATTTTATAATAGAAGCAAAGTCAAAATTTCCCAACTATACATTTTTATTTACTGATGGATCCAAAGATCGGCAGGGCAAAACTGGCGCTGGTATCTTTTCTACAAATTTAATTGACAAATCTTTTCGACTTCCAAATTTCTTTTCAATCTGTTCGGCCGAAATATATGCAATTAAAGAAGCGGTTATATTTATTATAACTGAGAATATTAGGAAGGCAGTTATTTTCAGCGACTCTAAAAGTGCTCTCCAAAAAATATCCAGTAATTGCATATCGAGTAAAATGGACTATTTAACATTAGAAATAAAACATAGTTTATTTAATGCAAAGAGTTTGGGGATAGATATTTGTCTAGCATGGATTCCTAGTCACTGCGGAATAACTGGAAATGAGGAAGTAGATGAACTGGCCAAAAAAGGCCGACTGCAAATATTAAATATTAATGCCAGGGTGCATCATAGTGAACTCTTGCCTTTTTTTAAATCCAATACATGGAAAAAATGGGAGGAGGAATATAAAGTGATATGCCAAGTTAAAGGGAAACTATATGGAGAAGTAATTCAAATTCCATTAAAGAGACCGTGGTTTGCAAAAATAAAAAATTTGAATAGAAGGGATATAAGTACCGTATGCAGATTAAGAAGCGGTCATTGTTTAAGTATGGTGCATCTAAAGAAAATAGGTGTAAAAGAAAATGATAGGTGTACGTGTGGAAAACTGGAGGATTTACAACATATTTTTTTTAATTGTCAAAATAATTTTTATAATATTTATACATTTTTAGATAGTTTAGATATTCCAAAAAATTTTATAAAACCTGTTACACTTTTTGATGTATTGTTTAAACTTCTGTCTTTCGGTAATGTTAAAAAAATATCAAAATTTATACAAATGTCTAAAATTAAGCTGTAAAATATTGTAATTATTTACCTGTTGTTACCAAATGGCTGTATCATCTTAGCTATGTAGGCCAATAAATTATAAAAAAAAAAAAAAAAATATAAAAAAAAATAGTGTTTATCCATACTTTTATTTAAATGCTTAAAGAAAAAATAGTATATGTCATTCGGATTAGAAGGCCCATTATATGTTTCGCCCAGTTTGCACAGCTTCGGCTAACGCCTCAGCTGTGCAAAATTCTGGGCTCGACATATAATGTTGGCCTTCTACTCCTAGTAACATAATATACTATTAAACATTAAGGCAAAATCTAGTTGAATTCAATTCAACATGACAAAACTACTTAACCACCGCCTTTCAAGAATTGACAAGTTTTTCGGCCCGTGGCAACACGACTGTACAGGAAACAACAATTTGGAAACCAAGCGAAACAAGATCTAACAGCCCTTTTTAACTGCATATAAAAAGGAAGTAGACTTAAAACATTGCATTATATGCCACTAGACTTCGGCTGGTGCGAAATAAAATAGTTTGTTTAAATTGTTAGTGCAAAAAAGCTTTAAGAAAGTGCTTGTGCAAATTGTTCAGTGGGTCTGGCTTCTGTGAAGGTAAGTGTTTCAATTTTTATTTTCATTTTAAAAAACTAAAAAAATCCATCAGACATAAGCCCAAAAAGGGTGGGGGGTAGATTTCAAAAATTAGAGTTTAGATCAAAACATGGCTTGTGTAGTATTAAATGAAAGGTAATTGAGTCTAGAGTTGAATAAAATGCATTTTATTTTTTTAAGCCAGTGGCGCACAAGGGGGGATTTCAAAAATTAGAGTTTACATCAAAAAATGACTTGTGTGGTATCAAATGAAAGTTGATTGAACCTGCAGTTGAATAAAATTTATTTTATTTTTTTAAGCCAGTGACGCACAAGGGGGATTTCAAAAAATAGAGTTTACATCAAAAAATGGCTTGTGTGTTATCAAATGAAAGTTAATGGAGTCTGGAGTTGAATAAAATGCATTTTATTTTTTAAGGCAGTGGCGCACGAGGGGGATATTTCAAAAATTAGAGTTTATATCAAAAATGGCTTGTATGGTATCAAATGAAAGGTAATTGATTCTGGAGTTGAATGAAATACATTTTTTTTTAAGTCAGTGACGCATAAGGGGGGATTTCTAAAATTAGAATTTAAATCAAATCATGGTTTGTGTGGTACTGAATGAAAGGTAATTGAGTCTGAAGTTGAATAAAATACATTTTTTTTAAGCCAATGGCGCACAAGGGGGGATTTCAGAAATTATAATTTAAATCAAATCATGGCTTTTTTATCTTTTATTTTAATTAATTTGTTCCATAAACCAAAATGTCCGATGCTAAGAGAAAACCCTCTGGGAGCGAATTTAAAAAGCAGAGATTAAACAAGGAATCACAGCTTCAAAAACAGTCAGATGCGCTGCAGAACTTCTTGAAAGAAGGTAGTTTCAACGCTCCCACAACCGACCAACATTTGAACAACGCCTAGCACCTAGATACTGACTTTCCGAATATGGACCCCCCTTTGGACGCAACCGTCAGCATTACTGAGCTGGGTAAGTCATCTCAAACGAGTTTGGCGAGTAGTGATGCAGTTTCGTGCAGTTCCAAAAATCAAAATTCGCAAGTTCTGCAGACCTCAGAGAAATATTTAGAAAAGGCTACCGTCCAAAGTATCTCTTCTGACCCAGGATTATGGCCCGAAATCATGCGTGCAGCAGATAGAGTTTTTTTGGTTAAACGTGGTCCAGCTACACCTTTGTATAATTTTGATTTTCCTTTTGATGATCAGCATAGAATATTCTCACCAAAACATTACAAGAAAAGGCTTAAAAATGGAGAAGAGGTTTTAAGAGAATGGATGGTATATTTCGTATTTCAAAACGCTTTGTACTGTTTTCCATGTCGACTTTTTGCTGCACCATCTAGCTTGAGCGCTCTCTTCAATCGGGGATTTAAAGACTGGAAGCATTTAGGGGACTCTTTAGCACATCATGAAAATGCTAAAACTCATATAGTTTAAAATTATGGCTTGAATTAAAGCAAAAATTGAAAATAGGTGAAACAATAGATGGAGTTTCTGGTCTGGTCTGAAGTTCTTTTACGCATTATATCAGTCGTTAAAATGCTAGGTGAGAGCTCTCTAGCTTTTCGAGGAACAAGCGATAAACTGTATGAACACAATAATGGAAATTTTTTGAAGTTAATTCAGTTATTGGTTTTGATCCAAAAATGGAGGAACACGTTCGCAGAGTCCTCAATAAAGATGAAATCAAAGCTACATATTTAGGGAAAACTATACAAAATGACAACATAAAGCACCACATCATTGAACAAGTTCAAAAGGCCTAGTATTATTCCGTGATTGTTGACTGCACTCCCGATGCAAGTAAAGTAGAACAGATGACATTTGTGGTAAGATTTGTCTCCATACAGGAATCAGAGTCTGAAGTTCAAGTTAATATCAACGAACATTTTTTGAGTTTTCTACCCATTGAGAAATCAACAGCTAAGGAATTGCCGGAGGTTTTACTAGAAGAGCTAGAGAAAAATAGGCTTAAAGTAGAAAACATGCGCGGTCAAGGGTATGACAATGGTTCCAATATGAGAGGAGAAAAATCGAGAGTACAAACAAGAATGAGAAATATAAACCCCAGAGCATTTTATGTTCCATGCAGCACCCATTCGCTAAATTTGGTTGTAAACGATATGGCAAAATCCTCGTTTGAGGCAGCCAACTCCTTCAATATTGTTCAAAAGTTATATACATTTTTTTCTTCCTCTTCTTTTCGTTGGGCAATATTACTGAAATATATTGATACTTACACCCTAAAACCATTGAGTGATACGCGATGGGAAAGTCGAGTCGACTCATTAAAAGCTCTGCGGTTTCAAATTGGTCAAATTCACGATGCTTTGTACAGCATATATGAAGATTCAGAAATCGATAATGTGATCAGAGACGAGGCTAGCGGATTATTAAATAATTTGAAGCGGTTCTAATTTATATGCTCTGTTGTGATATGGTACAAAATTTTGAGTCATATTAACCCCATCAGCAAACTTTTGCAAACTGTAAATTTTAATATGTCACAAGCTATTAATATGCTTAGCAACTGCAAACTTTTCTTTAAAAACATGAGATCAGATGAAGCTTTTGAAAGCATCATTTTAGAAGCAACCGAGCTTGCTTCATAGATTGACGTGGAAGCTAATTTCGAAACCACCACACCACGTCATCGTGTCAGAAGCAAAACAAGAACGTTTTTGTATGAGGGCCCGGATGAACCCGTTCAAGACCTCAAACAAACATATAAAATAGATTTTTTTTTCACACTATAGATCAAGCAATAAATGCCTTGGAAACCAGATATAATTTGCTAAATACTCACAGTAATTATTTCAGCTTTTTGTATAATATTTTTGGTCTAAAAGACATGCCCAGAAATGAGCTACTGGCTCATTGCAAAGATTTGGATGCAGTTTTAACTGATGAAAAATTAAGGTTTTGCCCGGAGCGCCAAAATGTCTAGGGCCGACCCTGATGTCAAACTTGAGATAGTGGAGCTACTCAGACAGCACACTATATCTCTGGCATATGCCACAATTCTGCCTATTTGCCAAAATATATTTTTAATATTTAATTGATACTTAAACAGTGTAGAGTATCCTTTAAATATAAAAAGTTTAGTATGAAATTGACCTTAAAAATCACCTTCTTCTATTTAATGATAATTAAAAATAAAGAACAAATTGAGTGAAACTACAATCTTTTATTTATATATTCATAACAGCACATTCTGGATTATACATACATGGTAATTGACAAAACTGTAAAAATGCGTAGTACGAATAAAAATTAATCAATTGGTTTTATTTAAAAAAATATATGTAATAAATTACTTATTTTCTAATCAATATAATTTTTAGCAATAAATTGGAATTTCTTGCACATTCTTTGCTAAAATAGTCTTAGAACTCTATGTATAATAACATTAAACACTATTTTAAGTAAAAGGAATTGTATAATTTTTATTCTCACTACCATTTTCTCAATTTTTTTTGACACCAATTGGAATTTGTATTTAATAAAATAACAACAATAATATTTAACACATTTTTGGACAAGCTTCGTAGATTCAGCATCTGATAACAATTATTCAAAATTTCTTATAAAATGATGTTTTTAACAAAAATCTAAACATTTTGAAACAATAAAGCCGGCCCTGATATTAATTTTGTACAGGAGCGTTTTAAGTGTAATCTACCTATCAAATTTGGATTAATTTAATAAAATGAGTAATTAAAAACATATTTGAAAATTTATTTTCGCACTTTCTTTACCAACTTTTTTATACTACTAATAATAGTATAATAATACATTGTTTAAATTCTATTTGGTAAGCTAAAACTTGTCTTTTTTATGAACATCAGTATAAACATTTACATAACACTTATTTTCAACATCATATTTAGCTTAATTAGAGGAAAAGCACATGGAATTCGAATTTTTTTTTTTAATTTTTGTGTCATTTTAGCAATGGCTAAAACATTATTGTCACATTTCCGGCCTCTTTGATAATTAATCTTGTTTAATAACAACGTATTTTTTATTAAACGGAATCCAGACAAATCAATTAGTAATAAAAGTGTAAATGTTGAAATCTTTCGCTCTCTGAACGCCTGTCAATTCATTCCGGTGTTTTTAAAATGTAATTATAAAAATACTAATTATATTGATTCGTATTTTTTAAAATTTTTATATAATTTAATAAATTGCTATATACCGCCATTCAAAACTATTACAATATTGCCATAAGATTTTGCACAAACTTACTAGCTAGGTACTTTAAAAAGCCCACGACAGTTTGTTGGATACTTTTATCCATGAGACTGTGAAATAAACCATTTTGATTGATTTCTCGTAGTAGAAACGGCAATAAAGCAATAAAAACGAGAAAATTTAACAAGTTTGAGCGTCTTCAGATCGTTCTACAAATTTAATTGCGTAATATAGTCCATGGAATTGGTACTTTTTGCCTTACATCAAATGAGGTAGTTCTGTTTTTTTTTATATGTTGGTAGTGATGAGATGGTAATGACAAATCCAAATTTTCCACCCCGAAAGCCCTTCGGATCATTGTTAAATATTAAAAAATTCTTTAAATTTTAGGACTTTTTTCAGTTTTTGTCAATTTTTACCACCAAGAACCTGAGTTACGGCAATAGTTACTATGCACACTTTTTAAGTAGAGTAAATTTGCAATGAAATGTGAATAAATTGGTTTTGGTAGGTCAAATAGTTTATAAGATACGCCTATTTAAAAGTTTGAAAAACTTAAAAAAAAAAGAAAGTATTGCTTTTACAGAAAATCATAGCAGAGCTTGAGGAGCTGTTAAGGAACGAGGCCTTGTGTACTCCGCCACTTCTGTACCTGAACCAAATCAACAACAAAATAAGGAACCATGTATAAAGAATGTGGTCTGAAGAAGAAAGGAATACAAGCAAAAAACTTATTCTCACCTGGCGGTATGTTCGCAGAGAGTGAAATCTTGCAGCATCCCCGGTTAGAGGCAATCTGGCGAGGTTCATGTCGGGCTTAACTGCTGCCCTAGTGAACAACTGGAAGCGAAGATCGCTAAGATTTTGCGATTCTCTGTTGCCTCCATAAAGTGAAACGAGGAAGGCATCTCCTGCGTCGACAACTTGCTCAGATGTGGCATTGAAGCTCAAGAAAACCTCTGCGTTTTGTTTGAGGCGTCGCTATTTTTTTATTGTCGATAGAAATTTCTTTTTTCCTTGGCCAAAAGGTGCTGATGTATCACAATCGCTAAACGCGTAAAAAAACAGTGCTATTCCAAGTTGTGATAATTGCGTAAAGGAATTTGTCGAGTAGATGACATCTGTGTTTTTTCCTCTCCCACATTTTACAAATATATTATTGTTATTTGGTCTGTTTGTTGAAAGCATGTGGTCTCCTCCGTATCGTAACAAACCACAATATAAGACCAACGAATATATATCCTCGCCGACGATCTTCACTACTTCGTAGGAAGAGGATATGGAAATGGCTGTGGTTACCATTAATATATCAGCATCTTCGTCTGCTTGTAATGTTAGAATTTTATTCTTCTCCAGGTAAACCTTAAGCATGTCGATGAGTCTAACTTTATTCCTATCATTCAATAGGAACTTGTCCTGAGCAACTAAAGCAATGGTTGTTTCATCGAAAATAACATCCGGAGAGTACGTTGCTAGAGCTCTAGGCAGACGTTCAGAGCTCTTGGGTGGATCAAATATAAACAAGTATTTTAAAATTATAAATGGAAAAGTCATTCAAGGTGAACGCGCCTGTTATAATATTAGAGTAGGAATGTTCAGTAGCATGTAAGCGGCTGGTAGTGGCGCGATTCTCATTTGGCCAGTAGCAATCGCAATGAGCGAAACGAAGGTACACAGTAGTGTTGCTCAAAGAATAATCATTAAATTTCTTACGCGCGAAAACGTGAAACCTGCTGAAATTCTACGCAGATTGCGAGCACAGTTCGGGAATAAAACGCTTTCGTGGGCACGTGTAAAATCTTGGTGCAAAACGAGCAAGCATGGAGTAGCGGCACAAAGACGAACCAAACCCAGTGAAGGAGAAAACTCGTCTGTCTGCAAGCAAAGTTTTAGCGATCGTTTTCTGGGACTGGAGAGGAGTTTTGTTGGTAGATTTTTTGCATGAGCGAAGAACAATAAACGCGGCTTACTACTGTAACTTACTCGATCAGGTAAAGCTCGCTTATCGCCAAAAGAGGAGAGCACACCCCATCCGAGACGCGTTGCTCCTGCATGATAACGCTAAACCTCATACGGCAGCTTTAAAACAGGCCAAAATCAATGAAATGCACTGGACAGTGCTGGAACACCTTGCATACAGTCCAGATTTGTCACCTTGTGATTTTCATATGTTTGGGCCAATCAAAGATTTACTGGAAGGCGAGCGATTTCAGACCAATGAAGAGGTGGAGGGATTTGTGCGCAACTGGTTAGCTACCCGCCCCGCATCTTTTTATGAAAACGAGATTAGGAAACTGCCAATATATTGGGAAAAGTGTATTAACAGAGAAGGGGAATGTGTAGAAAAGTAGAAACAAAATCTGATTTGTGTCATGTTTTAAAATAAATAGTTTATAAACGAAGGCTTGTTTATATTTGATCCACCTACGTATTTGAGCCCTAGTGATTATCTGAAACCAGTTTCTCCAAAAGACGCATTACAAGGCCACACTACTTTGTGGAGCAGATGTCCACCGTCTACAACTTCGTGCGTATCATTCCTCTGTTGATTCTCATTCAGATTTACATGATTGAAGGCTGGTAGAAAATGGAGATCGCATTTTTAATGCTGATGAGACAACAATTTCCTTATGCCCCAAAACTGGCAAAGTTTTGGCCCCAAAGGGAATTAAAAATATATACGATGTTTCAAAAACTTCAGAAAAAGAGAACCTCACAGTATTGATTAAAGTTGCAGCATCCGGAAACACGGCGCCTCCTATGGTAGTTTATCCATACAAGAGAACGCCTTCAGAAATTGCCAAAAATTTTTTTTGAATACATGGCAAATATATTTGAACCATGGCTAACGGAAAATAACATCGAACGCACTGTAATTTTTTTTGTCCCATTTGACTCTACACCTCAGTATGTTTTTGCGTGAAAAAGAAATTATTTTAGTAGCATTTCGATGTGGTGGTCTTTTATCCACTAAAAAGTAAATGGAAAATTCATGTAAGAAAATGGCTCACTGAAAATGAAAACCAGCAATTGATGAGACATCATGTTGTCAAACTACTGGAAACTATTTTAAAAGATGCCATGTCTCCGGATACGATAAAAAATGGGTTTCGAGTTTATGGCCTTTATCCCTTTGATGCAAACAACGTGGATTACTCCAAAATATTACACAAACAACACACAAAAAAAGCAGACGATACCAATAAGCAAAATAACGTGATGAATGATGACATTAAAAACTGCTTAAAGGTTTTGGAAGCTAATATTTCAGCAAATGTATTTCAAATTATGAAGGAACACATTTTAGAAGATGAATGGAGTAGTCCTGAGTCAACAAAAGACTTGTTTAATACCTAGAAAAGAATTCAAAAATTGAATAGTGTTAGCGTCTCAGAGAAAAATGGTAATATAATTGACATGAATACATCTTTAAACTTCTCATTAGAAATCGACGATAACACCCACGAAGACATCCAAAATGAAGAACACGTTCCTCAAGAAGTTACTAAACTCTCTGAAGAAGTTTCACAGGAAATCTGGCAAGAAGTAATTGAGAATTTACATGTTACAGCTGTGTCGGATAAAAACCACATAACCCCAGAAGAATATCATCAAGTTCATGCTGCCATAACATTTAAAAAGAAAAACCAACAAACTCCCGATAATGCAAAGCCTTCAACATAAAAAAAAATTGATCCTTCTATAAGTAATGCTTATTTTCAACCACATTGCCAAGAAATTGTCGTTAACGGAACACAGCACACTGGTGAATCTCCATTTAAAAAATATTTTTTTTGGCTCAGAAAAAAATGAGGGAAAAACCACGTTCAGTTATAACATCCGATTTTTAATTACATGAACAACAAAAGAAAGAAGCACTTAAATTAGAAAAAGAACAAAAAAAGAAAGCCGGAAAAGAGCAAGAGAAGAAAAACAAGAAGAAAAAAAAATACAAGTCAAAAAACCAAAAGGCGTAAAAAAGAAAACTCAAACAAAGGGTAAAGATTTTAGAATCCTAATGTTAAACTGAAAATGTTAAGTGCCAAACAGCATGGAAGGACCAGCATGTATTAGAGAGAAAAGCTAAATGGCTTTCATGTATTAGCTGCTCAAATAAGGTTAATATAATTTGTGTCCTCTTAAGTATATGAATAGTCTTGGAAATACTTACGCAGATTCTTTTTATTATTATTAATATTTTTTTAGATGAAGCACTTAATTACAAATAATCTTTTATTCATTTATTGTGTTTCAAAATAAAATAAAATTTATGTATCTGATCTTTAAATGACTTTTATTAAAAAAAAATTGTGATGTCAGATATTTCAAATATTATGTTTCCGAGTAGGAAATTGCAAGATCTATCAAAATCAAGAAAAAAAAATGGGGTTACTATTTAAAAAAATTGTCAATGACGTCACTGCCCAAAAATGGGAAGTGGGGGAAAATTAAATTCTATTTAAAAAATTGCGCTTTTAGTAAACAAAATTGACCTGTCCAAGCATTTTTTCGAAAAACCACCTACTTCCATTATAATGAATTTATTCCTTTCATTTGAACCATAAGCTTAATTTTGGTATGTGTATGATTAAAATAAAACTTTTACTGTGGCAGTTTCAGATAATTATGTTTAAATTATCTCTAAAAGTGTTCATAACTGGTGCCACTACCCTAACTAAAAAAAGTAACTTTTCTAATTAACCCACTACTTAGGGGTAAAAATTGTCGAAAATTAAAAAAAAAACTTTATTATTCCTTTTTTTTTTAAATTTTGCAAACTTTTAAATAGCCGTATCTTAAAAACTATTTGGCATACCAAAACCAAATTATTCTCATTTAACTGCAAATTTAGTCTACTTAAAAAGTGTTTATAGTAACTTTTGCCGTAACGTAGGTCTTTGGTGGTAGAAATGGACAAAAACCGAAAAAAACGCCTAAATTTTAATGAATTTTCAAGTATTTAACTGTGAATCGAAGGGATTTCGAGGTGGAAAACTAGGATTTGTCATTACCCATTTCATCAGTACCAACTTAAAAAAAAATCAGAACTACCTCATTTGATGTAAGGCAACACTTCTTTTTTGGTACGATTTCCATGTACTAATATGACAATTCAAAATCATAAATTAGTATTTATTATAATTACCAAGTGTTGCTAAACAGTGAATTGTTTTAAACAAGTTTACCATGCCTATTCATTACTAAATACGTCCTAATTAAGCTCTTTAATTTTATTTGTTCACCTATTTAGTTCACTAGAAATTCCTTGAAGTTACAGTCTGAAATGTTTTAAGGAATGAAGTTGTTATTGCTTGAATATATTACTATAAAATGTGTATTTATTAACTCTATGAAGCAGTCTACATTTTTAATTTACCTTTCAACTGTACATAGAAAACAAGTTATTGTAAATAAAAGAAGAAACGTCGAAAAATATAAATATACTTTGTTCGTTTCAAATATACCTATAAAGTAACATCTCAAATAATGTTTTCCTTAAGTAGTTTTCACATTTTAAATTAGACAAAAATAAAAAAAAATAGAAATGAAAAAATAAGATATAGATTGTGTTTATTGCCAGAAAATATAATAAATAAAAGCACAATATCAGATCTAAACTCGAATATTCAGGGATATTTCAATATTTCCGTTTGTACATGAAAATGAATAAAAGGTGCGCATACAAATTTTGTCAAAGTGCCATATTCTGAAAAATCCCCAAATATTACAAAATCTGTTTCACATTAATATTGAAAGGTCCTAAAAATAGAGCAATCAATGGAATCAATACGCAATAAGATATACAATAACTTATTTTTATAACCTGGCATCTTTCAGTTCCAAGTAATTTAAAACTCTTATCTCGTGTTACAATATATTATTATGAATGTAAAATACTTTTTGTGATATATACAGAGTGGACTACTGAAATCAGCAACTATAGACATATCACACTGCTTTGAAAATAATTTTGTTTTTTTTTTAACGCCTAAGTATCCTTTTTGAACAAGTCATTCTAATATATCAATTTGGATAACAAAGCAAATCTTCTACATATAATTCACCCTTTTATACATCGAATGTCCAACTTAAGGATATAAAAACGCTTTTAGTGTATGGCATGTCTTATAAATTTTACCTCAACTACTGCCGACAATACCCAATTTTCCAAATAAAATAATTGTTGTAGGGGCGTATAATCTCCGTGAAATTCAATGAAATTTTATCACGAAACCTTAGATAAAAGATACCGAAGATGCAACATTGCACACTGCGCATGCTGTCTATTTTAACCCAAAGTAACCCACCAATTGAAAATCATTGTTTGCACGACGCCACCCGAATTGCTCCGATTTTTCCATTCAACGCTCACCCCCGCCTGAGTTCAATCACCACTGACAGCTGTTTTTTGATTTATTTGTTGGTATTTTAGCAATTTAAACTGTTCTAGTTATTCGATTTCAAGTTCAAAATGCCACAATGTATCTTAAAGAATTGTATATACTTATAATACAAGTACCAATGTTATGAAAGATAAAAAATATATTCGTATTCAGCGGTAAATATTTATTAACGTTTTGACATAAAGCGCCATGATCCTTTGGGCTGAATACTTCAGATCCGTATTAAGGGGTTTCAATAAATATTAAGCATCAAATACATATTTCAGAAATCAGATTTCATATTACTTACATAAATTTACAAAAGGGTAAAATTTTGAACGTTTAATTTAAATAAGAAGTAAATAGGCATTGTTGCTAACGAAATTTTGTATTTAAAAAGTAGTTTTATAAGAATGTTTACTAAAGGTGGTTTTTAGCCCTTTTTTGATAGATAAATAAGAAGTAAAGAAGCATAGTTGCTAGCTAAATTTTATTTCTATAAGGTCTTTTTATAAGAATATTAGATGAAATACAGGATGACCTACTTAAAATTTCAAGGTTCATCTTATTTGCGGTCAAATCGAAAGTGACATTTGAATATTCGGTCTTAAAACAAACTAAAACGCACCATATGATCTAGTATAAGTAAAAAAAAATACTAAAATTACGGGAGTTAGTCACATTGTTAATAAAATGTTACATTATAAACCCCTAAACAACTTGAACAAAATTTTCGTTTACTAAAAAAATCCAAATTTTAGCAATATTTATTATACAATCAAATGCGGTTTCAAAGATAACAGGATCAAAAAATCCGAATCTCTAAATTTTGGAGCTAAATGCTCAGATAAAAGCAAGCGACCGATAGGGGTTACAAAAATAATCGATTTGTCGATTATTCTGATATTTTTTTTATGAAAATCGATTTATACGTTATTTTAATAAATTATTTTCGTTTTTTAAGACAATGAAAATAATATATTGATCCAATATGTATAATCGGTTATTTTATATAACCGATATTTCGGTTATTTTTTAAAATTGTCGATTTATCGGTTAATCAGCTTTTTAATAATCGATTATTTTATATAACCGATATTTCGGTTATTTTTTTAAAATTATCGATTTATTGGTTAATCAGCTTTTTAATAATCGATTATTTTCGATTTATCAATTATTTTCGATTTATCGATTATTTACGATAATCGAATAATAAATTTTAAAGGAAATATTAAAAAAAAAAAGGATTATTAAAAAATAATCGATAATTCGGTTAATTTTTGGAAAATCGATATATCGTAGAATCGGCTTCTAATTTATTGGTTATTTTCGATTAGGCGATTATTTTGGAATTATCGATTATTTTCGGTAATTCAAAGATAATCGAATTATCAATTTTAAAGGAAATACAATAAAAATAGATTATTGATAATAATCGTTTGATGGAAAATATTCAAGAATTCTGTTTTTTTTTTAATATGGATTTATCAGTTAATCGACTTTTTAATTAATCGATTATTTTTGATTAATCGATTATTTTCGATTTTTTAAAGATTATCGAATAATCTATTTCAATGAACGAATAAATAGATTATTTGAAAATAATCGATTATTTAAAATAAACAATAATTCTTTTATTATTTTGTGTAAACACTGATTTATCGGTTAATTGGCTTTTTAATAAATCGATTATTTTTGATTTTTCAAAGATAATCAAGTAGTCGATTTTAAAGGAAATACGACATAAAAATAGATTGATTGAAAATAATCAATTATTTTCAATGATCGATAATTTATTTCGATAATCACCCACCACTAGCGACCAAATGACTTTCAATAGGTTTAAATTTTAAAATGTTATCTGGTTTCAGACATATGCATTTCTAAAGTTTTATGTGACTCATCCTCTATATTAATTAATATTCCTAAAGAAAGAAGCTTTAATATACCTTTTTCTGAGGTTACAATACAAAACAGTATTTTCTCATTTTGACTAATTTTTAATATTATATAATAGCCGTAGAAAAAAATATAATGTTTAACTCACAAGGTTTAATTTGCAGTATTCGCCTGCGCACATGCTTTTTTTATAATGCTCGTAGACAATGAGTACCATTTCTTGCTCTATTAACAATATTCTATTTCAACATTTTACTGTAATCTCTTGCAGAAAAGTCCGTAGTAAATAAACGCTAACGAAATATTCTATAAAAGGTCTTCTCTTTACATACAATGTCGTGGCATCTGTTTGAAATTAAAAAATCACAATAATTTTATTTCATAATACAAAATTCCATTAAACATCTTTTAAATAAATCTAATAGTTCATTATGATGCTAATAAACAAAGTCCGGTTCTTGTCAGAGTTCGGGTCGCCGCCCAGTTCCCCCACTCCGTTAACCTTTCTTTAGAAATTGGCAACATTTGCGCAGGTTAAACACTGGTGTATGTTATATCTCTGGTCTCTTTTATCTAAGCACGAAACTTACTATGTATCAATGAGTTCCCGAGGAGTCACCATTGTCTCCCTCTGTTTGAATATTTATTTAAAATAAAATGTTTTCATATTCATTAAATTAATTAAATTATTAAAAATGAATATGAAAATTTTTTATTTTCAATAAATTAAATTTTCAAATTGAATTGATAAAAATAAATAACAAAACGTTTTATTTAAAATAAATTTTCAAATTAAATTAAAATAATTTTGAAAAATAGTGATTTGGCAAGTTAAATTTCAATACTCTATTATTGGACAAATATTGCTGTTTTCAGTGACACACCAAATAGTGATTTGGCAAGTTAAATTTCAATACTTTATTGCTGTTTTCAGTGACACACTCTGTATATATATTATCTGTAAAATTACAATCATTTTTAATTATAGTGATGCCGCGAGGCGAGACATTTTCGTCTCTCGTCTCGTACGAGACGAGAGAGTGTCATCTCTCGACGAGAATTTCTCGTTTCTCTCGTGCTCTCTCGAGTTCTCTCGCGCAATTAACTTTTTACTTCTTTAAAATTTTTAATTACTTATCGTAACTTAAAATTTAAAAATATCATATTTCCAGATAGTCAAAAAGTTAACTATAAAACACCTATTCTATATACACAGCGAGTTTTATTACAGTGTCTAAATAAAACGACTGTGACAAACGGACAGGCAGAGAGATACCAAGGTAATTTCCTATTGCCAATTTGGGTACTGATGAGACAAATTACTTGAAAAATTATTTGTTATTATCTTCAAAATTTTAATTTTTTTTTTATATTTTGTCCTAAGTATATCTCTTCCAAATTTAAATTTGATGTTTTTATCACGAGAGAAACGAGACGAGACAAAACAAGACGAGACAATGGCTCTCTCGGGCGAGAGAAGCGCCATCTCGTCGAGACGAGAGAACAGTTTTCTCTCGCCCTACGAGACGAGACGAGAGAGGCCTCTCTCGTCTCGTCTTGTCTCGCGGCATCACTATTTAATTATATAGTTCATACCAGAGATTTGCAAATTTGTGTAATTTTTAAAACCATTATGGCAATATTTATAGTTAACAATATTTCTATTGTGCTGACCAGAATAAAAAAAAAAGTTAGGCCAATTGAAATTATTTCAAAAACAATATATATGACATTAAAGAGTTCCAAATCGATAAAAAATACTGATAAGTAGAGCTTTATTGAGTATTTTTCTTCTTCTACAAGCGTTCATCACTAATAATATATATCACACTAATTATTCAAAAAAAATTTCCGATTTAATATTTGAATTTCTTATTTGATTCAAATTTTTTATAATTTAATATGAATACTTTGCCTCTTACGTAACGTATAACTTTAACAAGAAAACTGATAAAATAACAATTTCATAGAAAAAATATATAACGATTAGTGTGCTTAAATTAAAATAAATAAAATAGGTGTTATTACTTAAAATTGCTTTTAAAAAAATTCATTAATGTTTCTACTTATTCAACCTCTCTGGTAACCTAGCAAACTTTCTGCTACTCCTAGATAGTACACTGTTTGAGCTATACCAAACAGCGGTGCTATGACGATCATACGGCAAGCTCCTCCTTTGAAGAAAGCTGTTGGTCCTTCGTACCGCAGGATATTACTGAAAAAACAAAAAGTTTAAAATATTGTGAAGAAAACAGTAAAAAACAATCTGTTAACCGCAAGATCTTTAATAAGATTTAAAAAAAAAATATATTTCTGATTAAAGATCATATGGTTGGCAGACTTTGTGTTGTTCTTTCCTTCATAATCTACGACCAGTTTGAAATATGAATACCTAATATTTGGAATTAATAATATTATGTTTTTTAGATCGTTTTACTTCCTCAAAATTTATCCAAAGTCAATTAAAAACCTTGCGATCAACTTGGAAACATAAAATAGAATTACTGACGATATTAAAAAAAATCTGAATCTAAATTTTGAGTCACGTTAATCGACAAAACTTACACAAAAGCATTTACTACGCCAGAGTATGACCTCTCGCCTTCAGCCTTGGTAATAGCTTGTAATCTAGTCTTAACAACGTCGAAAGGATTCACAGCCAGTGCAGCCATAGAACCCGCTGCACAACCAGATAAGAAAGAGCACCAAAAAACGGCTTCACCTGTAAATCAATTGAGTCATTAATAATTCTTTGAAGTAGTTTTAAATTTTTATTTTTACCCGATCCATCGCTTTTTCTAGGTCCTAAATCATTCAGAGTTGCAAACAAAGGAAAATATATCACAGAAAAAGAAACATCTCTCAACATGGTCGCACCAGTGCCTTTGTACAAGCCAATGATACCGTGCTTTCTGAATAAACCGAGTGCTAATTCGGTAGCCGAGACTTTTTGGACAGTTTTACCAACTACAAAAAAAATTGAAATAATTAAATTTTTTGTGAAAAAATGATTTAGAATTTTTTACCTAGAATAGCTTGTGCCGCTACTCTTCCAGCATCTTGCATCTGAATCTTCAGTAACTCCATAGGAGTTGTAATGACAATCTGACAGAGACCAGCTAGACCACCAGCTAGCATCTGCCGAAGTATTGGAAGCGTTCTAAAAATACATTTATGAGACATATAGAGATACACTTTTTTTATTTACTATACTTTTCTCTGGTTTGTAAATGGTATCTAAAGAAATCATTAGCAGCTAGTTTTATAGCCTTTTCGGGGGTTATTAAGAGAATATTGACAGCCGATCCTCTATACATGCCGAGAAATCCCTCAGCTCTATAGGTTTTTCGGAAAGCATCCACCCTAAAAAAGATACGTCGTGATAAAAAAGAAACGTTTCTTAATTATTTGCAGTATTTTATCAAATAAATAACTCACATGTTATTGTACATTCGCTCGCCATTGGGTCCTATTTGTTGATTTTGTAGTCTGGTTTTGACGAGATCCAGTGGAAAGACACATGTAACGCCAATGATACCGGCGATACCACCATTTACAATTTTGGGTACTAAACTTCAAACAAAAACTACCGTAAATTCTTTTATATTGACTGTATCTACGAGTATATGGAGTGTTACCACAAATATGGTCCGATATTTTAGGGGGTGTTTATAAAGAAATTAAGGTTAAAAATACATATATAAACGTTAATATTACTGTTAAAACTCTTGGTTATTAATCGAAATAAGGACGGTATTGACACTGAATGAAATTTAGAAAAGTTGTATAATTTATGTCATAAAAATAATATTTAAACTAAATTTAATTAAAAAGGAAAGACTTAATTACTAAATGCATTTAATAATTAAATAAATTTTTCACGAAATACAAGTCTTTCCTTTTTAAACTAAACTACGTGCACACAACCGTCAAACTTTTTTGGTTATTTTAATCTAAATTTAATATTTTTAAAATGTTTTTAAACTATATTCTCTGATATCATCTGATTAATTATTATCAATTTTAATATTAACTCTATAGTAAATTTTAATTTCACCATAACTTGTTGTGATGCCGGCAAGTTCTTCAAAGATATTCCTAAACAAACCTTGAGAAATCGAGTCAGGTACATTGACCTAAAACTTTTGGTTTACCTGATTTGATTCGCAAACTTAGTTTATCATCAAAGAACTATTATTCTCAAAATACCTTACGTAAACAAATATTTTATAAAATTTGTTTATTGACTTTTAAAGTATGTATACTTAATAAACAAAATATTATTCAATTAAATCATATATTAACAAACATTAAAGTCCGGCGCTATACTTGCTCACCATTAGATTTGTTTGATATTGCTGTAAAAGTGAAATAAGTGGGGTTGGTTGTAGCTTGGCCATTGCTTTGTAGTTTAGATTGCTTGCTTGCACACTCGCTTAACACGCCTGCTTTGTGGGTAGGTAACTTTTCTACAGGACGATGGAGAAATGCAACCATCGAGTGCCTGCCTCCTCGTAGCACCACTGGATAAGGCCAATAGCGATGTTTCAAGAAGCACCACTATTGACTAACCAAATGGCACTCCAGCAAAGCCCAACGCCACGGTGTAAGGTAACGTGCCTAAGGATGAATAGCCGCAGAGCTTAATATGCGGTTGCGACCGTTCCCTTGAGGGAACCGGGCGAAACCACCAAGTAGCCAGCCTTGACTCTGTACGGGGGACATTGCAGAGTTGGACCAACCCTTCTCCCATACTCGTGGGAACAAATGAGTACAAATGATTTAAATAAAATAGACACCCAAGGAGAAGAGTCGGATACAGACGACTCAGGCTCCTTTAACATGACTGTCGGAGATTGCGTTAGCTTTGGACTCCGAAAACTCAAGGGAAAGAGGAACTGCGAAAACAGAGGATTCTAACCACTTAGCGGGAGGAGGATCTGTGAAAACAGACGACTGCTCCCAAACAAAAGAAACGGTTAAAAAATCAGAGGTTAAGCCTGCTGATAGACCGAAAAAACCTTCAGGAGCGGAGAAGCTTCTGAAGAAAAGAAAAATGGCTGCAGGAACGTGGACGGAGGAAAATCCCCACAAGAATGCATCCCAAAACGAACCCAACGGAGGGAGGATCAAACGAAGAAAGGGGATAAAAGGCCCCGATCTGAGTCGCAGACTCCCCCCACGCGAAGTGGAACTAAGCGGGCCAGAAATGCTCCGGCATCGGCTGGCTCGTACAGCGACACTTTGAGGGGTATCCGACTGGCTGTCATCCAGAAAAGGCATCCAGATACAACCCTAGACCAAGCGTAGTAGCGGAGGAGCGCCATCGCGAACGGAGACTCCGGGATACCAGGCGACCTCCTGAAGTAATTAGCCTTACTATAGTAATGCGACGATCTACCGTAGTTGACTACCACTTTCCTAACTATTCATGGGATTAGGATGAGAAAGCATTTAGATGACACCAGGAATGACGGGGACAATCCCCTTAACCGCCAAAAAATGGCGGAGAACCTTAACCCATCCAACAACGTCATTTCGAAGGAGGAGGAAGAGGTACTACGTTCATCATCCAACTTCAACGCAAATGAAATCCCACCCACCCTCTAACAATACGCCAAAGCGGCCTCATATGCCATTGGCAGGAGATTTGTCAAGGATAGTCTAGACATCGCGTTTATCCAGGAGCCCTGGATTTCCAGTAGCAGCCATATAAGTGGCCTTGGAAATTGTCCTGATAAGTAAGTAGCCGGTAACTCTCCGGACAAACCAAGAGCATTCCTTCTTATCCGAAATAATATAAAATTCTTTATGTTAACAGGCTACTGCGCCCCTGAAGTGGTTGCAGCCCTGATCTCGATCTCAGCGGAGAACAACAGTACGGGTATCGTCGTCTACTCAGCTTATTTCCCGGGAGACACAGGTCAAGACCAACCACCTCCTCCAGCGATAGTGCAAGCAAGAACTATTATAGTTGCCCATTGCAAGAGAAACAACAAACAGCTCATGATTAGGTGTGAGGCTAACGCCCACCATAGGAACTGGGGAAGTTCTGATATCAATGTGCAAGGTAAACAACTACACAAATATATAATCGGTGAAGGGTATATTGTTAACGACGTAGGCTCAGAACCAACTTTAGCGACGAAAAATCGTGTGGAAGTTCTAGACATAACAATCAGTTTGTGAGTACCAATATTGTTAACTGCAGGATATCTACCGAACCCTCATGTTTTGACCACAGACATATCAGATTTGATATGAGGATGGATCAGGTACCCACTCTTCAATTTTGTGACCCTAAAAGCACAGACTTAAGTAGTTACCAAAAGCCCCTCCAGAAGAGACTGGGAAAACGTAATTAAAACTATTAAGAATAGTGCAGAGATTGAAGTAGCGAATGATTAAATTCAAAATGCCCTTATGATAGCCTATCAGAACAACTGCCCACTAAAGGAGAGAATAAACCTAAGGGGAACTCCATATCTGGGCCAAAAACGCAAAGTTCGACATCTCTTGAATCGAGCCAAAGAATTAGACTGCTGGAACAAATACCACAAGTCCCTAACGAAATACAACAAGACCATCATTAATACCAAACAAGAATCGTGAAGAAAGTTCTGTCAGAGTATATCAGGTTTACCTGTAAGCACCAGACATCACAAGATTTTCGCCAAAGATCCGAGACAGAAAGTCGGCTCGATAAAAAGACCTGATGAACACCTATACGGCCTCTGGCAAAGTAACGTTAGATTCTTTTACAGAAACACTTCCCAGACAGTTGAATTCTGGAGGACAGGCAAGTTGTATCCATTCCTGCTAGCGCATCGATCACACCACCTAAGAAGGAGGACTGGAACTACGTTGCACAAGTTGTATTTCCAAGCGCAGTCAAATGGGCGATGATTTAATTCTCCCCTTTCAAATCATCCGGTAGAGGATGGTATATTTCCTGCCCTTTTGCAAAAAATACGGGGAGATTGCGCTGGGAGCCTTTCTAGATAAAGAAGGCGCCTTCAATAATTCCCTTCTTCAGTCTCTGTTCGCTTCTATTGAAAGAAGAGGAATAGACAAACTGACCTGAAACAAGATCAAAAGCATGCTTGCAAACCGGAACATCATTTTATCACTACAGGAAGAGTCACTTTTAGGCCTGCCAGAGGATGTCCACAAGGCGGCGTACTTTTACCCCTACTGTGGACTATTCTGGTGGATGACCTGCTGAACTATCTCTCTCGGCAGAGGATAGGTTTTCAATGTCAAGCGGACGATATGAGTAATTAGGGGATGTACGAAGAGGTGATCTCCAAACTCCTTCAAAAAGCCCTAATGCGAGAGAAAGCAGACGTCTGTTAACCTCCGGGAAACTGTGATCGTCCCCTTCATCAAAAGAAGAAAGCTCGGCAATCTACCTTTTGCGGAGGAGGTGAAATATCTGGGAATTATCCTAGATAAGAAACTCACTTAAAACCCCCAATTGGAAAAAACCATCAACAACGCGAGATTATCCCGTTGGACCCTCAGAAGGATATGCGGCAAAGCATGGGGATCAACTGATTTACTGTATTTGCCAAACAGTGGTAAAACTCATGGTTACGTACGGCTTCGTCGTCTGGTGGGACAAGGGACAACGAATGCCTAGAGCAAAGCTAGCTGGTATCCAGCGGCTTGCGTGCCTCATCATCACTGGGGCAATGTCAATCACACCGACGAGAGCCATGGAGACCATGCGGAACCTAACCTCTCTCCACATTTTGCTGGAAAGCGAGGCCAGGAGGGTCTCCTATATTTTCCTAAAGGTGGATAGTCAATGTAAAGAACTGCGATGGGACAAGACGATGCTGATTAATAACTACCACATCTTCGGCATTGTCTCTAGAGTCGCTAGTTCTCCGACAGCAAATAGAAAAGCCATACAGCGTCCTCATCCAGAGAGAGACGTATGGAGCAGGGGGGATAAAACCCTCTCCAAGGCGGACATTACGCGGTACACGGACGGTTCCAAAACTGTAAAAGGAGCAGGAGCGGGAGTTTTTGGCCAGAAGCCAAGAGTTCAGATATTATTAAACCTAGGCTCTCTAGCCACGATATTACAAACAGAAATGATTACTAAAGAATTGGGAGTGAGAGAGTTGATTAATTTTCTCCCCACAAACAAGATTAAAAAGTTTTTTTCGGATAGCCAGGTAGCCCTCAAAGACCCTGAGCTCCACTCTAGTTAACTCAAAGCTGGTTTGGAACTGTATAAATACTCTTGAGTATCTCGATGTCCGGAACAAAGTTACTTTGATCTGGGTTCCGGGACACAGCGGTGTGGAGGGCAATGAAAAAGCCGACGCACTCGCAAAAAGAGGAACCGAATCTGAGTTCATAGGACCAGAACCATTCCTGAGCATTTCAAAGAGCAGTGCCAAAGGAATTATAACAAAATTGTCGGAGGGTGCAACACTCATTAACTGGAGAGATACTCCAGGCTAACTCATTCGAAGGCGTTTATTACCAACCTTTCCAAGAACGACTCTTCTCAGATACGGGACTGAATCAGGAAAGATCTATGCATTATCACGGGACTGATGACAGGGCATTGTCGTTTGGGTAATCACATAAGAAGGATAGGTCTGCAACAAACATCGGACTATCGATTCTGTAGCGTGGAAGTCAAATCTGCAGAGCACATTTTATATACTTGCTCCGCTTTGGAAATAACTAGGTTCCAGATCTTCGGATTCACCCGACTGGGGCCTATGTACCGACTTTAAAGTCTCGCCCAACTTAATCATGGCCTTCATCAAAAGATGTGGCTTGTTCGGTGAACTATAAGTTAGACATGAGCCACAATAGATCCATCTTAGTTGCAGTGGAAGGCGATGAGATCATTTCACTCGTTTTCAATCTAACCTAACATTCAGAACACTTTTTTTAACAAAAAAAGGATTGGGTGCGTCTAAATAATAATACTAATAATAATACTTACGAAAATTGAACTTGTTTTTCAGCCATAGGTGGAGTTCTGTATTTTCTGAAAAGAAAAACAAACAAATTACTCACAGGCAATTTAGCAAATGATATTGAATCAATATCAAAAATGTCGATATCATCAAAATACGTTTACACGAAAAAGCATTTCCGATAGGAAAAGATATATTATTTATTATCATGTAGAGCGAAATAAAAATGAAAAAAAAAAAGCTACTCCACTACTCGTTTAATAATAGTGTGGTAGGTATTCGTATTGATAAAAGTATTTTACTACAATAAATATTAAAAATAACTCGACTTTATCATGGTGGAAGTGCCCTTTTATTATTTAAGTAATTAATAATAATGAATGAACATGAACACTTTTGAAAGCCTCAATCAATCTGACTAAATAAATTTCCCTGATTAAAAAAAATTAATATTAAATAAACTCAATAGCATATATTTCTAATTAAATTTATTAAACATTTTACGGAAATTATAACTGTCCTTAGTTTGACAACCTGTCAATTTTTTTTGTTTATTATTTATATTGGATGTTAACGCATTTATTTGAAAATAAAACTGGGATATTTTAATTCTGATTGTAGACGAAAATTATTTTCATAAAATCAAGGTTATCACTGTTAATTATTTGATATAAAATATCAAACAAGACATTTATTTTCGTAATAACAATACAATGGACAAGTCATTATTATGGATAAAAATAGCAATCTCTTTTATGATATATTGTTTAGTAATTATGTAATATGGGTGTTACTGTATTAGATGAACAAACTTGTCTAGTTAATTTACACGATAAGCAACTATTGACCTAGGTTAATTTTCGAAATATCAAAGATATTTTATATGATGTAGACGGCTTATCAGTGTAGCAACAAATATTAATACTATTTTAATTTTATATATCACTTGCAAAAATCAAACTTGTTTAACCTTTTGGTGTAACTAGTTAACGCAAATATGATCAGTTTCACAAATGAGAGACTTTCGTCAACATCTAGAATCTGAAAGTGATTTACAAAATATTCACAATGTCAATATTTGAACAGGATAAAATCAATCACGCCATTATTACAAAAGCAATCTCATTCTTTTCTAATCAGTAATGATAAGTAAATATGATGTAGGTATATCAACAAGTTAATTAAAATAAATTAAATTATTTAATAGCGAGTTTAATAGATTATTTGGTAGTGCCGGACATATCCATTTAGATGAAGGACTACAATTTTTAATTATTATTTTTATATACTAGGTACCTAAAACAGCAATATAAATAAAATATGGTCTCACTTCTTTTTCCTAAAATTTATAATTTGCAGTTGTTTCAATGACAGATTCGTTCAAAGATAATTTTCATTTTTTTTACAATTAAATTATAGTATTATTTTTTTTTGTGTCATCGGCATCAACGGCTACGGTTATTAGCCTCGTTTTCTGTGTAGGCTTTGTTACTGTTTCCCAGCGCCACTTTAGGAACAGCACTGTTAATTAGTACCCAACAGTTATTATTATATCTATATACAGGGGGTTAATTTGAAAACTTCCCACCCTTAATATCTTTCTTCCAGTAAATAATATGAAAAATTGGAAAGACACGTTAATTTTATTTTCGAGTGGGGCACTTTTAATAAATATTTTTTGCGTTCGTGGTTTATTGATGTCACCCTTAGAATCCAAAATGGGAAGGAGGGTCAAGTAACACATCATTTTAAAGGTTTTAAACTTCGTTGAAAGATACATTTTCGGTTAGTTTCAATTAATTCGATACTTTATCTTGCCACAAGTTTAAGACAATAAAAGTTAAATTTTTCACCTGCTTACTGGTCTATAACTTTTTATAGGTATAAAATGTTATTGAATTAGATTGTTTTTTAGTTTTTATACATAGTTGCCAAACTACGAGTATGTTTTGGTTACCAATTTACATCGTTAAAAACATGACAAATATATTTTGGGATTATATATAAACGCATAAACGGTTTTAAATGTTCTACTGGACTTAAATTTTATTAGTGAACAAGTGTCGTATTTTTTGGCATCACGAAATAAAAATATTTACAAAAATAACCCAGAATATTATCTAGTTAGTTAGTGAAGGTCAATTTATTTGTTCTAATGGATCATAGGTATATTTATGACAAAATAAACTTAAAACGTGCGTGTGTATGTAACAAATTAGTATAACATTGAAATTAATTGAGCTTATTTAAATAATCGAATTTTAGATTCGGCAATCTAACCTATAAAATTATACAACTTCGGTATTGATTAAAATTTGAGATAAAAATAACAGAACAGTTTTACCTTATTAAATATGCTGGAAGATATTCTTGTAGCAATTGACTTAAAGTGATTTTTGAGGTTCCTACTACAATATTTTGATTTTTTTATACTATTTTATTTGACACACACTCACACATGAACATTCAATTAATTTATTGGATAGCAACGAATTGAGAATGTTGAGAATTCCGTCCAACTCGCTGCCGGCCAAATTCTTTACATGAGTGTATGTTCATTGTTCACAGGTTGTTGACAGAAATCTACATGGAAAAGGCTAATAGTGTAATGAAATTAAATGAGATGGCGCCAGAGGTAACATTTCTAATAATTTAAATTGGCTGTTGGACTGGGCCACAAACACAGCTGGTTGTAAATAACGGAATAGCACAGTCAAATAGTAGATATGGCTTGTACATCCAGTGGCGTAACTACCTACAGTCTGTTCGCTATACTTACGCGGGTTTTGGATTAAAATTTTTATGAGTATTTGCAGGTAAATACCCGAAAGTTTGACCTGTTCTTTGGGGAAATATCACAACTGGTTAAATGAAATGAAAAATAATGTACAACTTTTTAATTAAATAATAATAGAGAATCTTTTGTATAATTGAGAGCAGAATTAAACTTCTTCATTAATGGAGTCTAATGTGGCTATTATAAACCTAATAATAATTTTATATAACACTTCACACAGAAAATATGGTCTATGTATAATAAGAGGGTTATTTAGCTCAAATAAAATATTTTCTAACAAAAATTTGTTCCATGTAGAGAATTTCAAATGAAAAATAAAAAAATTTAACTTGCCAACAGAAATAAAAATCAGTCATTATCATCCAAAATATCATAATAGTCATCATCATCACTGTCATCACCATTAATTGTTATTATGATTGGACTTATTTCGTTTATTTTATTTTCACGAGTCCACCAATCTTCTATTAGCTTCTTGCACTTGGATATACAGTTCCGCCACACTTCTGGAGTTGCAATTAAAGTGCTTTTCGCCAAGTTTCCCGAACTGCGTCGTCACTATAACCATTGGGCCCAATATGGCTAATATTGTTTTGCTATTCCCCATATATATTCGATGGGATTAAACTGGAGATGATACGGTGGCAGACGTAAAACTTAATGACCGTAACTTTCAATAATCTGATCAACAACAAAGGTTTTTGGTTTTGCGTGTATATTTGCCAATCGTAATAATTCTGATTTTAATATATATTGAGGAAATGATATATGTTCCTTTGTCAACCATTCTTTAATTTTATCAACAGTCCAAGAATTCGTTGGACTTTTGTTTAATACTTCAGAATAGTAAGGTGCATTGTCTAAAATAATTACGCTGGGCTCACTTAAACCTGGGAGAAGTTTTTCATGCAACCATTTTACAAACATTTCTGTGTTCATATTATCGTGATAGTCACTGGATTTTGATTTAGATGAAAATATTAAATCAGCACCTTCTATAAAACCCGATGTTCCTCCTGCTTGCCATATTCTTGGTTGCACCCCTAGAAAATATCCATGTTTCGTCTAAATATATAATATTTGCCCCTTCTTCTTTAAATTTAGAATATTTTCTTAGAAAGTTAATTCTCTTGTGCACGACAGAACTTCTTTCACAAAGGGCCTTTATGTTATCCTCCTTTTGAAACTTGAAACCCAAGTTATGTATCACTTGCCATAGACTTGTTCTGCCAATGTCGTCAAATTTTCTATCTATTAATTCCGAGAGAATTGTATTTAAGGTCACATGTTTCTTGTTGGCCCTCATTCAATAAATGGTATCACGAATTTCAAATTTCTTTCCATCTGGAATATCTTTCGTTTTCAATGATGGGCGAGTTTTGCGGTGATCTTCTTTCGGCAGTTCACTATTGTGATTTTGTCATACTCCTCTTAATTTGGTTTCACTAATTCCTAGAGCATCGCATACGTGTTGTTGTACAGACATTAGCGATTTTAAAGGACCACCATTTTCTTTTTCATCCGTCAAATACTTATGTACACTACAAATTAGACTATCTACATCTAACACACGTCTAGGCATTTTTAAAATTTTCACTAAATTTACAATATACATACAATGTCAACACTTGCAAAGAATCAATTCAACTGCAATCTTTGTAACACCCTAATGTTATTTTAATTTAAATCTGACCATTAGGGCATTTTTACCTAATTTCTTGGGAAGAGGCTTATTGGAACTGGTTGTCAATGACTAATTTGCATAATTTTGTTAATCCGAAACCCACGTAAGTATAGCGAACAGACCGTAGATCTGACGGCGTGCCTTTAAGCCTAGAGAAAAATCGCAATACAGGAGTGCGTTTAGAAACCTCGTATGCTGCGGTCGTCATAAGCAAAAGTACAAGTGAAAGAAGATAGAATAGTCCAGAAATGTCTGGAAATGTCATTACTTGTCAAGAAAAATCTAGACGACGCGACAGTTCGAGAAGGGTCAAGCAAGTTATATAAGTCAATGATCATACCAGAAACCTGCCTACCAATATTGTTTATTAATGTTATTTAGTTTTCAAAAAAGTGGGTTATTTTATCGTGTATTGAGGTTTAATTACTTTGTGCTAATTTACAATGAAAAATAAGGACAATAACAACATTATTACTAGGATGTAAGTTTAAACAAATTTTATTTTTATTAGTCATCCTGCACTTCTTTGATATAAATTTTCAGTAACAATGTATATTATTGATTTTAAAAC